GGTGGATGGCATTTCTCGTGGGCAAGTGAATGTTTACATAGCTGGCAAATTGCAGGTTAATGCTTATTGGGATATTTAACTACCTGTTAACATTCATAGCAAATCAGAAGCCTCCCATTGTCCCACCGCATTAAACCACAACTGTTTCACATGGGAACTTCCAGGAGGCATATATGATTCTTGGTTCCCCTCCATAGAGAGCTTTTCTCCCTGGGTCAGAGTAAGTGCTAATGAGCACAAGATCAGAAATCTCTCCTTAGTACTGGGAAAGCCAGCCGAGTCTATGGCCAAAGCAGTAGCAGCCCAACAATGATCTCTTGACTCACCTGATAAAGTAGTTTTGGACAATTGCATAGCCCTTGATCACCTGCTTGCTGAACAAGGAGGCATTGGTGCAATGGTGAGTACCACCTGTTGCACATGGATAATTATTTCCAGAGAGGTAGAAACCCAATTACACAAGATTAGGGAATAAGTGCATTGGTTACAACAAATTGCACCTGATAACCCCTGGTCTTTTTATTTATTTAGCTGGTTACCTTCAGGCTTGGGATACTGGTTTAGAACCATCATACAAACTGGAATGGTCATATTTTAATTATTTGCATAATTATTTTCAAGTTTTGTACCTATTGCCTGTCAAATCTTTGTAGAAACAATATATCCAATAGGGTGATATTAGATCAATGCCTTGAGATGATCTCCATCCAGTGTATACAAACTTGACAAGACATAGACTTTAAGTGGGAAATGATTGAGAGTTCTCTCTCCTACCCTTCCTTGTTACTCAAATGTGGCATCAGTGGTCTCCAGTATATATGCTTGCCCTCTGAAGTGAGACATGACAATCAGGAAAGGTTCCTCCAGGTACCGAAGGACAAATACACTAAATGTGGGAAATCTGGCTCTTGATCAGTGATACTTTCAGAGAAAGATCTTGAAGAAAATGCAGAAATGTGAAAATAAATGTACCGTATTTGCCGGTGTATAGGACAATCTTTTGGCCCTGAAAAATATGCCTCCAAGTGGGGGGTCGTCTTATACGCCAGGTACACTTCAGATAGACTGCCCATAGTGCTTGCCCCGTGCCAT